AAATAAATTTATTAATATCTGCAATATTTTCATTGATATTTATTATAATAAATTACAAGATTGATTTTCCGTGATTCATGTTGATAATAATTTGGTCAAGATAAACATTATTTTTAAATATTTGTAATACTTTCATTGATATTCATTATAATAAATTACAAGATTGATTTCCATGATCCATGTTGATAATATTTTGGTCAAGATAAATATTACACCATATTTTAAGTTCTAACCATAATATTAATTTTCACAAATATTCACTTTTTATTCAAAAATATTTATGAAAAATCGTAACAGGTTAGGTAGAATTTTTTTTCCAAGTAATCCTACAAAATCAAGTTGGTGAATTAATCTTTGCCAATATATTTTTTTCTTAAGCTTTATTTTGTTAAATATAAAAAATAAACTGTTCTTATAATTTACTATTTAAGAGATAATGACCAGATACATTAAATAGTTTTATTAATGGTTAAAAATTAAAATTGAAATGTATTAACTATATTTTAGAATTTATTTGTATACTATTGGCACCCATGATTATTTTATTTTTTATTTTTTTATTTTGGTGTAGTTGTGTACTTAAAAAGAAGGATGTCACAACTAAATGTATCTTTTCCGTTAGGGACAACATAATATCTACAACGCCCAACTTGGTGTATCTTTTCTGAAATTTTGCCATTAATATGCAGTAGAAAGTATGCTCCATAGACACAAGACAGCAGAAATTTACTGTACTTGGTCAGATTTGAATGATGGTCAAGTCAAAAATGTTGCACCTAATCGCCAGGAGAATTTAGCAACTACACTTTCCACAACATCGATGATGATACAAACGTGAGGATCTAGTGAAAATTTAAATGATGAATAATTTGGACTCTCTAATATATTACCAATCCCCTTTTATAGAAACCAATAATATATCCCTCAACTAAAACAGAAACTGGCAGTAGAGAACAATCAAGAATTCAAAAAGAAAAGGATTAAAACACCCACACAAACACAGAACAAAGGGGCCCAAACTGCAACCGGATGCCAAATCTGATCACAAGCCTAACATATAGCAAAATGGTAATATGTTTCTCAGCATACAGCTTCAACAAAGACGAACAACACAGCCGTAAAAAAGGAGTAAAAGATGCATCTGTATGTAAATCAATGAATTTGATAAAAAGCTTAGAAGAGCATAATAATAATCCACAAACATGAAAAGAACAGGTATGAAAACATTTATTAGCTAATAGCCATACGTAAGCATACATTCGAAGATTATACCTGCTAGGCTCATCCGATATGGCTAACAGACACGTGAAAAGAAATACCAAGGAAAAAATTCATAACGACTGCAATCACATGAAAGATTTACGGGGAGAAATCCAAAAGTAAATGCGGTCCAGATTTCCTATACAATTATTCGAATGAATAGCACGTGTAGACAGATTAGGAAAATCAACAGCAAGTGTTTACAAGTAAACTTTGGTGCCAAATAACGAACATAGGATTGTAACGGCACATAACGATAAAACATTAATCATTCACGTAAAACCGACATGCAACGATTTCTTAACATGCCGACGTTCCTTGACATGCATAGCTAAAGAGTTATAAATAACATAGTACAATTGAATACAGCAGACAGAAAAGCTTACTTGATCAACATCAAAATACTTTTTATTTAGGTGAAGCAATCCTGGTAACACAAAAATGCAGATGGAGATAAGTGAACAACACAAGTGAGCCACCAAAGTACTCTCAATTTCAGCCTAATCAAATCTTGAGTAAAAACCACAAGCATATGCAATTCTTGAACAACAATGCAGGAGTTATAAAATCACTAAAATGAATTACTACACAAGTAGCAGTTTCAAATACGGATAAAGATACAGTCATTCAAACCAGCACCACAAAAACAACTTGCAGTCGTGTCAAATACGGATAAAGATTCAATCTTTCAAACCAGCACCACAAAAACAACTTGCAATCGTTTCAAATACGGATAAAGATTCAATCTTTCAAACCGGCACCACACAAACAACTTGCAATCGTGTCAAATACAGATAGAAATTCACTCTTTCAAACCGTCACCACAAAAACAACTTGCAATTGTGCCAAATACTGATAAAGATACAATCTTTCATACCAGCACTACAAATTAACTTGCATTGGAGAAAGGCTAAAACAACAGATCTCATGATTCCATAAAACATCACAAAAAAACACTTAAATGTCAAACATTGAGCTCCTAATTATCAATACCATCAATAGTTATAAATATAAAAACCAAATTTTCTTCAAACAACACACTCATACAAGACACTCTTAAATTTATGTCACAACCCTGTCTATGACCATTCTTCTCGACCTTTTTTTT